TGATAATATTTGTTACTATTACTATCATCAATATTATTACTGATTGCTCGCCAAGCACGTGCAAGGCCCTAGGTTCTATTCGCAGCACCACATAAAAATTAATAAATAAAGATATTGTACCCAACTACAACTAAAAAAAATAACTAAATATAAACAAAGTAATGTGTGAGAATAAATTATACTTCATGTATGTCAAAATACACTCTACTGTCATGTATATCTAAAAAGAACAAATTAAAAAAAAGTAATGTGTGTGATAGGACATGACAACCATGTCATGATATTATTTTTGCACTCCTTTGGATGAAACCCAGAACCTCCCCAACACTAAGGAACTCTACCACTGAGGTATGACCGCAGGCCCATTCTAATACTTTTAGAACTTTTTTTTTTTTGGTACTGAGGATTGAACTCAGTAGCACCTGACCACTGAGTTACATCTCCAGCCCTATTTTTGTATTTTATTTAGAGACAGGATCTCACTGAGTAGCTCAGCACCTTTTGCTGAGCTCCCTTTGAACTCTGGATCCTCCTGCCTCAGGCTCCTGAGCTGCTGGGATTACAGGCATGTGCCACTGTACCCAGCCTCATTTTTCTTAATCATGGCACGTAGCACTGGCCATGGTGGTCTGGTTATCTCATGATCTCTAGGTTGTCTATCAACATCATCAAACTGAAAGATAATGTTTGAGCTCGGCACAGTGCTGCAGGCCTGTAATCCCAATGACAAAAGACTGTGGCAGGAGGATCACAAGTTCAAAGTTTCAGTAATTTAGTGAGCCCCTTGCAAAAAATAAATAAATAGGGCTGGGGATGTAGCACAGTGGTAGAGCAAACCTGGGTTCAATCCCCAGTACCATTAAGAAAGAAATTTAAAAAAATATATAAATAAAGTCCTAGAGAAGGAAAAATGGGGCAGAAACCAATGTCCATCGATGAATTAGCCCTTTTATTTTTTATTTGGTGGAAAGACATCTCCATTGTAATAATAAGAAGAGAGGTGCAGATTGGGGTTAGTTTATAAATGAGCAGGTAAAAGGAGAGGATTTTAATCTATGATTTCTGCTTCCTCTCTGAGAAAAAATATAGTCAACGTTTGTGAAGAAATAAGATTCAGAGATGTACAAAGACCAAATGAATTAGAGAAATTGTGCTGGTGGTAGTCCAAATGACATTGGGAATTGTGACTTTTTAAAAAAGGAGAATTAGGACTCTACCAACATGCCATAGGAACCTTGGACACTCTAGCCGCAGTAGGTGGGAAGGCATCACGTCATGTGTTATAAGATTCTGCTGTTTTCACCTATGAATATATGGAATCAATAGCCTGTCTCTAAGCAAGCATGGAGTAGCAAGGCCTAGGCTAATCTATTCCCAAAAAATACTTGGAAAAAGAAAAAATATAACATTTTCCTCAGGTTTTATATATTATGTCATGAAAATTTTGGCATACTGATGACTTTGTATTATTCTGTTAAAGAATAGTGTCTTGGGTGGGATGCGGTGGCACATACCTGTAATCCCAGTGGCTCAGGAGACTGAGGTAGGAGGATCACAAGTTCAAAGCCAGGCTCAGCAATTTAGTGAGGCCTAAGCAATTTAGCAGACCCTGTCTAAATAAAACATTAAAAAAAAAAGGACTGGATATGTGGCTCAGTTGTTAAGGGACCCTGGGTTTAATCCCTGGTGGGACTGTGACTCAGTCTCTGGTACCAACAAAACAAAACAACAAAAATGAATAGACTGATCTTCCAGTGGTCCAAATAAAAGAAAGCTGACTCTTCTCTCTCCACCTCATCCCCCAAACAGGAAGAAAGGAAAGGAGAAAAGAAACTTGCATATCATTATCAGTATTGGACATTAAAAAAAAAACAGCCATTTTTTAAGACAGACAGAATGCTTTTTATTTTATTATATGATTTTTTATATTTTTATGTGGTGCTGAGAATCAAACCCAATGTCTAACGCATGCTAGATAAGCACTCTACTACACCCCAGCCCCCAAAAGGCCATCTTAAAGTGACTGTAGTGATCAAATCACCTCACAAAGCAGTTCCCTAAGATATGGGGAAGGGATAGTGGAGGGAAATAGAGATTAAGAGCCTCAACTGTACAGCAACTGGGATTACAGGTGTATGCTACTGCATCCCACACAAGACACTCTATTCCTTAACAGAATAATACAAAGTCATCAGTATGCCAAAATTTTCACGACAAAATATATAATATAAAATGTGAGGAAAATGTTATATTTTTTTCTTTCCAAGTATTTCTTGGGAATAGATCAGGCAGACCTTGCTACTCCATGCTTGCTTAGATCCTGTTAATCATTGTGGCAGGCTAAGCAGATGAAATCGTTTTTACTCTGTGTACTTCTTTTTTTTTTTAATATTTTTTAGTTCTAGTTGGACACAATAACTTCATTTTCATGTGGTGCTGAGGATCAAATCCACTGCCTCGCACATACTAGGTAAGCACTCTACCGCTGAGACACAACCCCAGGCCTGTGTACTTCTTGATTAAAGGTAACATGACTTAATGGAAAGCACTTAGAACAGTAAGTCTTAGTTTAAACATAAATACTAAAAAAAATATATGTAATTCTTCTGGATGCAGTACTGAGGGGGAAACCCAGAGACTCACACATGCTGTAACATTTAGCAATATACTCAGCCCATTTTATTAAGACAGAGTCTCAATAAATCACACAACACAGGCTGGCCTCAAATTATGATCCTCTCACTTCAGCCTCCCAAGTATCTAGGATTACAGGTATGTACCACCATACATGGTTAAAAATCTTTATTTCATTTCTGCTTAGATACATGAATCAGTTGAAGATCAATTGCCACCAGCACATCTAATCTGGGTGACATCTGATTATTATTTAAGGTTATCCTTTGTAGTAAATAAGGGTTTTTAACATGGGTGAATCTCTAGATCATTATGTAAATGAAATAAGCCAGCCATTTGATTTTCTTAACATTCTAAAAAAGATAAAAAACTGTACAAACTGAAATCAAATTAGTCATTACCAGGGGAAAACATGCAACAAGGTGATAAGACTACAGAGGACACTAGGGTGATAAAAATATTCTATACAGTGAGCTATCCAATACAGTAGACACATGATGACTTGTGGTCACTAAGCACTTCAAACATGGCTAGTGCAACCAAAGGACAGTTTTTTGTTATTATTTTTTAATTGTTGGGCAATGAATCCAGTGCATTCTACACCTCCAGCCTTGGTTTAGTGTTTAACATTATATGTTTGGCATCTCCAAATATTAAATCTTATTGTCTTTTGTAGTTAAAATGTGTGATAGGATACTAAATTTTTAAAATATGATTTTGAAGAGGAAATAAAAATTAGACTACCAGGTGCAAAATAGAAGTATAAAATTTATTTAAAACCACCAACAAATTTCTGTGTAATCAGGAATGATACAATTTTGTAATAGTTTTTTTTAAAAACTCATCACAAAGATTTAAAATATATTTTCAATTACATTATTCATTTAGCCTTATTTAGTTAGAACAATTAAAAAAAGAAAGTTTATGCTCTAACAAATTAAACACACAGGAAAATATAATAGACAATTTCCACAACTATCTTTACATGTATATTTCAATACTAGTACATTTCAATGCATTTTGCTACATAAACATGAAATCATGTACAACTGCTGTGCACCAAAATTTAGCTTAATTAGATCTTTCAAGTAACATGCAATTCCAACTTACGTCTTCAAGTACTGCTAGTAAGTGTTCCCTTGTCTGCAGAGGACTAAATGTTGATCATGTAATAAAAGTATCATAATTACAGAATTATCTCTTTCCCTTCTACATGGTGAAGTGCTTTTTCTTTAACTGTTTCCCTCCTATGTTAAGAACTAAAACAGATATTTTGTGAAGTTTTAAAGAGTATTTCTTTACAAACATTTCAATATAAGGGATATTTAATACAGTAGGACGGCAATAGGTTAAAAAAAAAAATCCCCAAAGCAAAAAAATCAAAGGTAAAAAAATAAATAGTAAATATATTCCAAAGAGAGAAGTCAGGTAGAGACAAGAAATATTAACTTATAAAACTGATAATTCTCTCTTGGGAATTCAGTACTACTCTATTTCACCATGGTAAAGAACCTTTGAGCATTTTGTTCCTGCTAAGAATGAGCATTCTGCTTCTCCTTTAAACCAAGGTAATGATATGCATGTGAATTTACTTGGTAGGTGACCACATAGCAGGAGAGAATGTGAACAAAATAGAAAACATGGTTATCTCTCTGCCAAGTAATTTTATAAGTTTCTTTTTAGGGAACATTTCTTAACTTCTCAGTAACCCATATATGGCCATCTACCCATATTTCACAATGCGAAAGCTGCCCTTAGTTTTTACTATAAAACCAGTTCTGGAAAAATATCCTCTTCAAGCACCTATCACAATGTTATCTTATAAAGGCTAAAAAAAAATATATATAACCATACATTGCAATAAAAATATTTAATCTTTTTTTTAAAAGAGCTGTTTTTGTTAAGTTCTATATCATTAGCCATTTTATCCTAGCACAAATAGGCATTGGTGAGGATAGGCAGTTAGCAATCTCACCAAAATCAAGATTTTTTTGTTTGTTTGTTTTTAATATTCAAATTTTGGCCTGGATTTTTGTACTGATGGAATAGTCAAAATATTCACTCTATATTTATATAGGGGTTGCTAAAATAATCTAGAAAAAGGTTATTAGAAACTTTACAAATACATCTAATTATTTTTCTTAACCTTCTGGCAAAGGAATATATATCTTTTGAACCACAAATTTTATGTGCCTGAAAACAAAGAGAAACAAAAAACAAGACAAAGTGTTTCCTTTTAGATAGGCCAACAATTTAGCATTTATATTATGAGGGGCTGGGAACTAGAATTGCTTACCTCGCACCATTTCCTTCAAGAAACGTGCACTTCAATAAATTTTAAGAAATACATTAAACATTGATTGTGACCCTGGTCTTTTTTTAAGTAGTATTCAAAAAATTATTTAGAAGATTGCCGATTTTAGTAGTACCGGGGTATTTTTTTTTTTTTAAGTCTTTTCAGTGGACACAACATCTTTATTTTTATGTGGTGCTGAGGATTAAACACAGTGCCCCGTGCATGCCAGGTGAGCGTACTGCTTAAACCACATTCCAGCCCCCAGGGATACTCTTTATAAAGTTATTATTATTTTTTTTTTTTAGGAGAAAAGAGAAAGAAAGAAAAATCAGTAAATCCAAGCCCTAATATGTAAGTCCTAGGAATTTAGGAATCTTTTCTTAGGCATGAGAAAATAGCTAGTTTAATAAATAATGGAAACAAAATACTTGAGAAACATGTTCTTCAAATGATAAGATTCTCTGTCAGTTTCAGGGTGTAGAAATACATTTAGCAATCTGCAGATACTAAATATTTTAATCTCAGATTGTTTGAGTTGCTTGGTGACTCTCTAAGTCCCAGCCATTTACTATTCTTGTCATCCACAGATTCCTGATCTGTAAGATGGGAATAATATTCTTTGTCGGATTTTCAGTATCAGAAAGAAAAAGTTGCACATAATAAAGCAGTTTTATCATAGTGCTTCATTAAGTGCACGGGTATTATTATAATTATTGTTATTATTATTGATATTGGGGATTAAACCAGGGCCTTGAACATGCAAGGCAAGCACTGTACCACTGAGATATTTCCCCAGCCAAGGATCATAGCTTTTATTACTGTCATATTTACGTCCAAAACATTTCCTTAATTTTAGCAGCAACTTTCATATATAAAATGTTGTAGAGTGCAAAGAAGAAATATTAAAAAGTATCTCTTCCTTTTGAGGTGGTTGACTGAACCTTCAGTTGCTGGTAGGAGCATAATTCTCCCTCCTTTCTGGCCCTTAACTCTTCCCCATAGTGCCGTGCCCTTCAGTTTCTGATGGCTTACTAAATCACCCTCTTCCAATTACTTTCATTTTCAGACTTTTCTCACCCAGATTATAGAATAGTTCCTACTATTGCTAACAACCTAAGAATTCCAAAGGAGTAAATTTACATTAGAAAATAGCTATCCACATAGTTTGATTGGGAAATTAGAAATACAGATAAAGAGATACTGCCTACTTTATAGATAAGATCCATTACTAATCCAGTTACTGTTTAGTAAATTTATAATTAGCATGAGGGATTACACAGAAATTGCAAAACCATACAATACACAAAGTCTTAAAATATTTATCTTCTAATACAATTTTTTTGGCAAAAGTCTTGAACACCAAGAGAAAATTTAAATATTAATGGGATTTGTAGAGACACCACTTGATAATAAACTCTGTTCTTGTATCTAGTGCGTATTCCTATAAACAGAATTTGCCACTAAATTTAAATGGTTTAATAAAAGCTCTTGATTGTTTTTGGTATTGTATCTGAAAGGACTTGTGAGATATGATTTTAAAAGACAGAAAAAGACAACTTAACCAGGGTCACTACTGTTTTTAAAACAAACCATGTGTATTTGCAGAATGGATCTGAGGAATGGAAACAGGACAAAGAAATTTTTATTAATGTAAATAAAAATCACAGGAAGAATAAAGATGTAAAAAGAATCAAAGTGAACTTAGAAAACAGTGCAGCTTCCATAAAATGGAAAAATAATAATGATCCGAATTTTTATCCCAGGATTTTAAGTTTATAGCCTGCCAAATGGAGAATTACATTCCAATATTATTTCTCCTAAAATGAAAATCTGACAGCTGCAATTTTTTTTTCTTATGAACAAGAGAATGCCTTTACATAACAGCTGCTCGGGCAAAATTTCTATTTTTAGACAATTATGTTTATAGGATTAACCAAGTCTCAAACATAAATGAGTTATATCAGCTAATGCTCTGTTTGATAACATTCCTACTTTGGACTAAATTTTGCTTTAAAATAAGGGACATCTATGGCAGAACAAAGTTTATGACCCAGATAATGAGAATGATAGTATGGATGGAAAAATGTCTACAGGAAATAAGGAAACTATTAATGTTTGATTTTTAAAGCTAGCAATATGAAGTGTTTGCATACTAACCAAGAGAAACTTGAATATGCCTTGAGCTACCCCGCCCTTTTTTGGTACTGGGTTTGAACCCAGGGTCACTTAAACTATTGAGCTATATCCCCAGCCCCTTTTATTTTTTATTTCGAGATAGGGTCTCCCTAAAGCTGGTCTCAAATTTGTGATGTGTCTGGCTTCAGCCTCTTGAGCAGGCGCATGACTGCACCTGGCCTTTGAGGCACTTTAAAGACAAGTGAAAATGAAGAGTGACAATATAAGTGTTCCCTTTGGATTACTTGATGAAATGAAATATATGCCTTTTGTCAGAGGCTTGTTTGGGGAATAAAGAAGACCTCCATCTCAAAAAAAAAACAAACAAACAAACAAAAAAAAAACTTTTGTGTAAACAGTGGTATTTAATTGGGCGCATCCCTCCCCAAGAAAGGATCAAAACATATTCATTCAAGCTGGGCACAGTAGCTCATGCCTATAGTATCAGCTATCTGGGAGGCTGGGGCAGGAAGATTGGGGTAGTTAAAGACCAGCCCAGGGGCAAGATGTGGGAAATTAAATTCATCCAGATGCAGAACTGCATAAAAAGTTCAACAAGGACAAAAATAGTGAGCTCCTGAATAAAAGCTTGCTCTACCATTCTTAAAAATAGAGAAACTCACTTTTTCCTTTTTTTAAAAATGTGGTACTAGGAATTAAACTGGACTGCTCTATCACTGAGTATATCTCCAGCCACCTCTCTCTTTTTTTAAATATAGTTTATCGTGAGACAGGACCTTGCTTAATTGCCCAGGTTGGGCTCTGACTTGTGATCCTCTTGATTACTGTGTCCAGCAAGGTATTCACTTTCTTTTGTTTTTTGAACACTGGAGATTGAACTCAGGGGAACTTGACCACTGAGCCACATCTCTAAGCCCTATATTTATTTAGAGAAAAGGTCTCTCTGCGTTGCTTAAGGCCTGGATAAATTGCTGAGGCTGACTTTGAACTCATCATCCTGTCTTAGCCTACTGTTTCTATATAGCACACACATTTAAGAAAATGCAGACTCAGTCTCCAATGAAGTACATATGGATTTTGACTTCCAGAATTTGCCTTCCTGAGCCACAATGAAAACATTTTCTAACGCTGTAAGAAGAAAACTCAACATGGAACACAATTTGATTTAGGTAAACTCAGACTCGGTAATCTGGCACTGATGACATCACTTGGTTTAAGTATGATGTACAGACCGGTGCTGAAGCTACAACACACCTATGAGTAATTTTAGGAACTATGGATGTTGAAACAATATTCCACTTCATGTAGAGAGACACATCGAAATTAATTGCTGGAACTTGCCTAGCTGGATATGAAGGGAATTGTATAACCATGGCTAGGTAGTTATGGAAATGATTTCCTCAAATATTTCAATCACTTGTAGATGGACAGAATGGCTGTATTTTTCCTTTTTTAAATGTGGTGTGGAGGATTGAACCCAGTGCCACATACATGGTAAACAAGTGCTCTGCCACTGAGCTCCAGCTCCAGCCCTGTAATCATCCAATATTTTAAAAACATCCTTATGTATGCTAGGTACCAAGGGAAGGAATAAGTATAAGCCTATAGTATAGAAGCTCTTGAGATGTGCTTAATGAAATGCCAGAGTATTGCCACATCTTCTAGGAAGAGTTAACAAAATAGCTCCCAGGGATGGGGAGGTAGTTCAGTGGCACACACAAGGACCTGGGTTCAGTCCCCACTACTGTGCCAAATTAAATAAAAAACAAACAAACAAAAGACAGCTTCATGGGTAAGTCAGCTCATTTCCCACAAAAGTACATGAAGTCAGCAGGCAGGGGCATTTTGACCTATTTTCACTGTTCACTTTTTCAAAAGATCTCAGGGTGGAGGGGAAAAGCCATTTTATATTATTTTCTTTTGTGTGTGCTCGGGATTGAACCCAGGTGTTTACCATGCAGTCCACTTGTATCCCTTTATCTTGAGACAGGGTTTCATTACTAACTAGTTTAGAGTCTCACAAAATTTCATAGGCTAGATTGAATTCATAACCTTCCTGCTTCAGCCTCCAGAATTGTTGGCATTTAATTTTGATACGTTCCCAAAGAAGACTATTTCCTAGTGATAAATCACTTTGTGGGTGAGATAAAATAAAGTTTGTTTATACTCTACGGTTATAAGCACAAAGTAGTCTTCACCTGTACAAGGTTCAAGGTTTAATTACAAATTGAAATTGATATCTGTTCTTTGGCTTCTAGTGAATGAACTGTTTGACTTCTGAGGTGAATTCCAACACTCTGAGAAGCTAACATGTTATCTTATTTAACAATTGTCATAAATTTCTACAAAAGATTAAAACTCACACTTGTAGTAAACCTAGGTTTCCATGCATTAAGGAGTGAAATTGAAGGAAACTATTAAAGATTGCATACACCAACCAATTTAGTAGGTATGTTCAAAGGAAATGCTGTGCCCATTATTGGTGGAAACTGTGATGCAATGATATTTTAAATTTGTCTGAGGAAAAAAAAAATCTTGATTTTTTTTGTTTTAAAGAACTATTTTCAGGTTAATTTTACTCATGCTATGGTGGAATGAAAATCAGTGATTCCACCAGAGTAATAACATTAGAAAGTAGGTTACTTCCTATGAACTAAGTCGGTACATTTGCACAAGGGTATGCATTCAATTAAGTATGTATTGGGGTTATGTCTTAAGTAAATGGGTTATGGATCTCATCTAGTGAAGTTCTGTATGTAACAAATCAAATTATTTCATCCACATGCAAATTGAATAATAATGATGTTAAAAAGTTACTGAAGATGTGAATGTCCCCAAAATTCAACTACAATTGTAGTTTCCTTGCCCAATAGATATTTCAATTAGGTTGATATGATTTAGTTGGCTATTTGAGGATAAATTGGAAACAAAATGTAGGTAAGGCTGATGAGCAGAGGGGGAAAATATAATTCAGTGATGGCCTCATAAACACTAGAAATGGAATTTTGAGGTACAGTTATACTTTCAGTAGGATTCTACAATAGGTAAAAGTTATTATAATTGATAAATTTGGTTGTTTTGGTACTGGGGATTGAACTCAGGGGTACTCGACCACTTAGCTACATCCCAACCCCCATTTTTGTATTTTACTTAGACACAGGGTCTCACTGAGTTGCTTAGCGCATTGCCATTGCTGAAGCTGCCTTTGACCTTTTGATTCTCCTGTCTCAGCCTCCAGAGCCACAGGGATTACAGGTGAGTGCCACTGTGCCTGGCCATTATAGTTGATAAATTTGTAACATTATTAACTGGAATAACTTGGAAGTCAGGTATAAATGAGTTCAATGATCATACCATGAACAAAAAGCAGACTTAAAACCTAATTTTAGTGCAATAAAAAGGAAAAAGAAAAGTCATTATACTAAAACATAATAGAGCTGCAGAAGTGTTAGATGACCAGTTTTATGAGTGAAAATGTCATTTAAACCAATTTATTTTCTCACTTCAGGAGAAAGAGCACACTCCATTCATGATGTTAATTACAACAATGGACTGGAAACATTTTAGCTTAAAATGGACATTCTCAGTACATGTTTTGGTAAACTATAACTAGCTTCATAAATCTCACTACTCCCTTTATTTTGAATGTAATTTGCTATTTCTTTAAAAATATATATCCAAGGTATCATTGAGGATTTTAATTCTTCAACTCTACCAATTCATAGGTGATGATTCAGAGAAAAACAAAAGTGACATTTAAATTTTGCGGGTATTCAATAAGTATGTACTGGGAAAATGGGTAGATGGATGGATGGATTAAGGGACATAAAGTTTTATCCATTATATCTGGTGAGGAAACAACTTCTAGTAGAAGCTAAGGCTTAAAATCTAAAATGTAGTTATCACAAGGGTGTACTCCTGATAGTCAAATGCTAGAAAATATGTTATTTAAGCAGCTGAAGCAATAAACAATCACTTATATACTTATAAGAAACCTTAGTCTCAAAAAACAACAAAAACACAAAACAAAAGAAAAAAATGCCACATTTTAAAACAGATATCTAAGGCACAGAAAATACTAAAACAAGTCATTGAATTACCCTATTTTACATATACAGGTCTATTAATGGACATTTCCTTATTTACAATCCCTTCATATTCCTTTACTTAGATTAGTCAAAAGCTTTAAACTGATACTTTGCACCATATATTATTTTAATAAGTTATAATGAGATTTTTTTTTTTGAGACCTTGCTGGAACTGTTTGCTTTTGCACCAAAATTATAAATTAGCAGTTGTGGGCTTCCTATGGCATTTCCAAGGGAGAAGCACCATTAGGTTTTCTAGACTCCCAAAGAATATGATACTTTGAATATTATAGCACCTCTACATTTTAACAGAATCAAGTATTTCTTAGAAGATTCTTCTTGTTCTAAACGTTTTGTTTCGGTATAACCATATTTATAATACTATTACCATTCTTTGACTAGGGCCAGGGAGTAACTGATAATAATGGTGACTTTATTTCAACAGGAATTTTTTTTTTATTATTCTATACCAGGATGGATATCATAACAACAAAACAGAAAACAAACAAACAAACAACAACAACAACAAAAAAAAAAAACAATTTGGGATGGGTAGGATAAAGCATTTGACTCTTCTAAATCACATTTTCTCCCATTTTCCTTTTGAAACTTGTTTAATGGGTTATATTGAAAAAGCTGGGATGAAAGTAACTTGAGGCCATGGTAGCTCAATAAATCATAAGAGACCACACTATTTTAAAATTTAAAACAACTTAGTCAATATTGATGATATGTTTCTTAAGTCCAATTTTAGGAATTATTCACTATTTTATATAGGTTGCTATTATATAACGTGAAAGGACACATTAAAAGAATAAAAACCATATACACGATGCAAAGAACATGTTGCATTTAACAAGATGAAACTCTACACAGCAAGAATAAATGATTTCTCTTGTATGCAAATATGCACAAACAATAGACAATAGGATTCTTATACTATACTATTTCAAGTTACTTTTAAAAATAGAAAGTGCTTTTAAAATATATATATTTACAATTACGAACAGCCTCCAACCATTACAAACATAATGAATTATTTTATACAGGAGAAATATTTAAAGAGAGAAAGCATTTCATTGGTTTATTTCAAAGGAAAATGCTGATTTTCTAGCAATGATTGGAAGATATTGGAACATGGCACCATGAAACAATGATTCAGCTTATTTTTAACTGTGTCAATGTGGTTAAGCACCAGGAGCTGTGTAGAGTTAACACTGTGTCTTGACTTTACATCACAGACATGAACCTGTTAAAATCCTCTAAAAATGACTCTTGTTTCATAATAAACAGACTTAATTTAAAGCACCAAACTGAGTGATTCTGTCAAGGTTAACACCTAACCAAAACGTTTCTTTATATATTTAAAACTAGAAAACTTATTTTTGCTTAAAATGTGCACCTTCTACCAATTGACAAAATAGTCACAGTTAAGTACCCACCCCATTTTTAAAATTTTTACCTCAGACTTGAAATGGGTGAGATGAAGATAGAGTAAACGACAACATGACTTTCTCTTAACAGCACCTTGAAAAAATACACTGCATGAGGAAAGGCGATAAGAAGGGGAGGAAAGCCTTTAGACCCAACGGTTATAGGGCCCTGCAACCTGTGTTAGAGCATAAGGGGACACAGTGACAACATTGTCATGGGTTAATGTTAATGCTTTATGAGATGGAATTTGGTTCAATTCATTGATTTCAGGGGACAGTTCAGCACCCTTGTTAGCTGCCTGGTCTTTCAGCTCTGAGGCCTTCATTTTCTTATTCTTAGCTACTTTAGCCTCGAACTTAATCCTGTTTAGTTCAAAACCATGGTGGGGCTTATTCAGGTTTTTGTGCTGGTAGAATACAAGGGAGAGGCGAGCAGGATGATTGCGGTTTGGGTGTGCCACAGCAGTGGTAGCATGAAGCTCTCGCCGGGCACACTCAATCATGACAGAACCATGAGTGGGTGCAATTGCCACCCCACCAATATTGGGATCCGAGAAGATGTGCTCATTGTCTGACCAATATTCCTCGATGTGAGGAAATTTTTCCTCAGCAGGTGAAAGAAGGTCGTCTGATAGGGGGTCATCAGATACAGGCTCATCTGCTTCAGAATGTTGCTCATCTTCTTCCACCAGACAGGAAGCAGGCTCATGAGGAGAAATGAGGAATGGGGGCTGCTGATTTGGCTGATTAGTAGTTAGCTGCTCAGTTGGACCAGTGGGAGGCTCAGAAAAAGCAAGGGAATCTGTCATGGGAGGAGGCAGTGAGGGAGGAGGAGCCAGGTCGCTGGGCTGTGCAATTCCAGTGCCTTCCCCAGCAGCTGCATTAGCACCACTGTGTCTTCCAGAAGGCATTGAGCAGTGGGGAATGCTACTTCTTTCTGAAAACCCGGACGAGGCTACTTTATTGAAATTAAATGGAGCTGTTGGCATGGAAGAAGTCTTCGGGTAACAGAAGACTGGAGACAGGGTTGCCTCATTCACTGTTGGAGGAATGGATGGGGTCAATGAATAGCATTTAGTGTTCTCTGAGCCTTTGAAGATAAAATGATGTTTAGTTTCACCTTTTATTTCAGGTTGCACTGTCTCACTATTATTCCCTAAACAGATAAAGGAACAAGGAATGTAAAAATAAGCTATGATTTTTTTTTCCCTCTGAAGCTAGAGAAGGAGCCCAAGGTCAGGTATGTGCTAGACATGTACTCTACCAGTGAGCCACATCCTAGCTTGTTAGACATTTTTTAAATCATGGTGGTACTGGGCGTTGAACCCAGAGGTGCTCTACCACTGAGCTACATAATCATGCTTTCTTTTTGGTACTGGGGATTGATTCTAGGGGCACTTAACCACTGAACCATATCCAAAGGCCTTTTTTATTTAGAGACAGGGTCTTGCTGAGTTGTTTAGGGAAATCACTAAGGTTGCCTCTGAGGCTGGCTTTAAATAATCCTCCTGCCTCAGCCTCCTTAGCCTGTATGCCACTGTGCCAGGCCTTATTTTTATTTTTTATTGTGTGACATAGTCTTGCTTAGTAGCTGAGCCTAGCCTTGAACTTGCAATCCTCTGTCCTTGCTCTCTCCAGTATGTGACACCATGCCTGGCCCCAGTATTAGTTTTTAATTCGTAATGTTCCATGAAGCATTTATCTTTTTGGAAGTAATTAGAAATTAGAAATAAGTGCAAAAAGTTATCCATAAGCATGGATATTCATTATTTAAAATGGTAAATTAAAAAATGACCTAACAGGCTATGCACAAAAAGCTCAACTAAACATTGGTATGCCCTGCAAGTGATAACACAATGACATGGAAAAATAAATATCTACCAAATATCTATATGACTTTTCAATTTTTAAAAATTTTTTAAATTTATTTTTTAAAATATATTTTTAGTTGTCAGTGGACTTCCCTACACCTCATTTTTAATTTTGAGACAGAGTATTGGAAACTTGCATAGATAGATCTTGAACTTGCCTTAGCCTCTCTAGTAGCGAAGATTATAGGTATGTGCTACCATACCCAGCCTCATGTTATCATTTCTAGAGCAGTTTAACTAATAGTTCAAATATATTTCTGGGTAATAAGGACCTCACAATTGGCAAAATGTTATTTTTTATGTAAAGGAAGTCAAAAAAATTTTTACTCGAAAAACATTTACCTTGAGACATTCTAAGCTTGTTTTGAAGCTGGAAAATATTCAGGAAAGGAAAATTAGTCAATTTAGCAATGACAAGAAAGAAAAGTAAAGGACCCATGTTATGATATAGTAATGTAACAATAAACATAACCAGCTTCAGATAGTTTCTTAGATGACACATCATAGGAACATGAAAGGAATGAAATACAAAGTATCAAGCAGGCCGGGAACAGTGGTACATGCCTGTAATAACAGCAGCTGGGGAAGTGGAGGCAAGAGCATCAGGAGTTCAAAGCCAGCCTCAGCAACTTAGCAAGGTGCTAAGCAAGTCAGTCAGACACTGTCTATAAATAAAATACAAAAAAAGGGTGGAGTTGTGGCTCATTGGTTGAGTGGCCCTGGGTTTGATCACCATTAAACTGCTTAAATATTAAGCAGTATTATATTAAATTATATGAAGCAGAATCTTGCCTTGCAAGCACAAGGCCCTGGGTTCTAACCAGTACCCCCCCACACACACACACAAAGAATAATAATTAAATACCTGTACTATGATTTCTTTCATCTCATAAAATGAACAAGCCATCTTATAAATGTGAAAATGAAAGAAGATAGGAAAGCTCTAGATTCTTCTTTTTCTGTACTGAGGATTGAACCCAATCCAGACTAAGCACAAGGTTTTCCACAGGAGTACTTGCCCAGTGCTATCCTGTCATTCTAAGTTTCATACACACACACACACACACACACACACACACACACACACACACACACACAACAGTTTAATGTTTTTTCATTAAGTCAAAGAATAAACAGTAGGTCAATGACAAAATTGTGCATCTGTTTCATGTGAGACCATCCTTATATGTAACTCTAATTTGACTGAAATAAAATTTAACCAAACATAAAATTAAAAATCATATTTACATCAGGAAGTAATAAAATCTTTTGGACAGAAGAAAGACACATAGGTTTACACATGAATGCACAATCACATAGTTTACATAACTCAAAAATACTATATTATCACCCAATTGTGGAAATCATATTCTGTAAGCTATTCAGTAACTGGTATACATGTTTAAAAATGTTAAGAAATTTATTTTGAAAGTTACATTAGGCTTCCCTAAGGGTAAATAAAACACAAAAGTACAGCTCTTTGCAGAGGAAAACATTCTATATTCAAAACAATTATAGCTGGTTGATAAAGTTTTCAAATTTTTAAAAAATATGTACTTTTTAGGTTTTTTTTTTTTTAAGGTGGACACAATACCTTTCTTTTATTTTTATGTGGTACTGAGGGTCAAACCCATTGCCTCACACATGCCAGGCTAGCGTGCTTTGACTTGAGCCACATCCCCAACCATCAAAGTTTTCAAATATTAATAATAAGTTAAAATCAAGGCAAAAGACCTAAAAACAAATCAATATGTTTAAATATTTTCATTATATTTAATGCCTAAGAATATTTCACACATTAGAGTGTAACACACCTGTAATCCCAGCAACTCAGGAGACTGAGGCAAGAGGATCACAAGTTCAAGGACAGCCTCAGCAACCCAGCAAGGCCCACAGTAAAAATATTTAATTATTTACATTCTTTCTTATTACCTTCATTAGGAACCTCTCACGCTGCTTCCTCCTCCTCATTCTAAGTATAAGTTGATGATGTATTTTTCTGTAGGCTCCTTATTGAAATGGATGTTATTAGATACAGAGCAGAATTATATAAAATAAGCCTGGAACATTCTGTTGTAACAGAAGCTGAGAAACACTATCAGGGTGTAACAAAAGAATTCACAAGACATACATACATAAATTCACAAGCCAGCTTGAAGGGATTTCTGTAGACCAAGGATAGGAAAATTACAACAATCTGAATCATTTTAAAATTTAGTGGAAGAGGGACTTGGGTTGTGGCTCAAGTGGTAGAGCGCTCGCCTAGCACATGTGAGACACATGTTAGTTCCTCAGCACCACATAAAAATAAAGGTATTGTGTCCATCTACACCAAAATAAATAAATAAATAAATAAATAAATATTTTTAAAAAATACTGGAAAGATGAGGATGTAGTTCAGAGGTACAGGGCTTGACTACTATGTGCAGGTAAGTCCTGTGTTTGATACCTGGTAGCACAAACACACACACACACACACACACACACACACACACACACACACACAAATTGTGTGTGTGAGTTGACCTAATTTGTGCATCAAAAATAAATGTCAAAAAACTTGTGAGATCAAAGTGACATTAAATTTTAAAAAACTGACCACAATGGAAGACACTTAGCAGGCACACTTTTCAGAGAAGAATGACAGGGGACATAGTGCAGTCTATAGTGTAGAAGAGCAATTAATTGCCTATCATGAGTGAAGCCCTGACCTGAATTCAATCCCAACACCACAAACAATCAATTAGACTTAACTCTAAATAATAGTTTTTTCTGCTCCATAAAGAAAGGACGAAAGCGGAAAAAGCAAGAGAGACAGCAAGCTTAAAATGAGAGGCCTGACTGACATATTATTAATTAAACAAAATGTGTGACTTTCTGCGTGGTACTGAAGATCTAATGCAGGCCCTCAAAATGTTAGGAAAGGATTCTATCAGTGAATTCATACTGATTCAATAAACTGAATAATAGAATTATGGTATCACTGGCTTTTTTCACATTTGTTTTCTTTCTTGTTTGTTGTTATTGTATGGTAGTAACAAAAATCCTTAATGGGAATGATGATGAATAACTGACTACAAATACAAAGAGGCTGAAGTAAGATTCTAACTTTTAGTGATACATACTGATGAATATGGATAATGTATGATTTCTTCAGTATGCTCAAAACAATCTAGGAGAGCCTCATGCAGTGGTGCAGGCCTCTAATCCTAGTAACGTGGAAGGCTTAAGTAGGAAGATCACAAGTTTGAACACTTCAGCAACTTGACAAGACCCTAAGCAACTTAGACACTTTCTCAAGATGTAAAATAGCTGGCCCAGGCATGTAATGTGAATGGCAAGTGAGGCTGAAACAGGAGGACCTTGAGTTCAAAGCTAGCCTCAGCAACAGTAGGCACTAAGCAACTCAGTGAGACCCTGTCCTCTAAACAAAATACAAAATAGGGCTAGGGATGGGGCTCAGTGGTTAAGTGTGCCTGGATTTAATTCCCAGTATTAAAAAATAGACAAACAAAATGACCCCCCAAAGCAGAGATAGGTCACGTTTTTGTTAATTTTCAGTTTGAATACTCATGTAAAAATATATTCGGAATCTAAGACTTAACTCTTAAACAAAGTATAATAATAAAGATGAGACTCAGTAAAGTCTAGTAAATTATCAAAAGTTTATCTTCTCAGAATGCCTTTGACCTAAGAAGGAAGTAAAGATAAAGGACAGGAAAAATATGGTGAAAGAGAAATTGCCAACCATGTGTCAATGAAGTTTGTACACAGAAGAAAATTTGGTCCCACAGGGCTCACCTGGGAGCGGCACCAATGAAGTTTTACTGTTCTTTGCCAGGGCAGAGTTATTCTTCCGCTTGACTCGAGGCATTTGCTTCTTCTCCACTACCCTAATCTTGCGCTCAAGAACTTCGGTCATCATTGCTGCCCTCTTCTTCCCGGATCGAGGAACAGGCTGAGTAAAACGTGTTCTTTTTTTGCAAGTTGGTTGAAGGAACTGAATGGCTCCAGATTTGACCTTGGCTTCCATCCCTTCTCTGGACCCAAACTCATCAGTGTCGGCAAGTTTATACAAAGGCAGGACATGGAGCTGCTCATCCTCAGGAATAACACCCAGGGTGCGGTTATCTTCTCGGGTTAAAGTACATACCTATTAGGAGGAAAAGAAGTGGGAAATACAAGCTGTACATCTTCATCATATATATTATTACCTGTTTTTTAAAAGTTTATTTTTCAGTTGTAGTTATTTATTTATTTAAAATATTTATTTTTTAGTTCTCAGCGGACACAACGTCTTTGTTTGTATGTGGTGCTGAGGGTCGAACCTGGGCCGCACACATGCCAGGTGAGCACGCTACCACTTGAGCCATATCCCCAGCCCTATTTTTTATTTTTAAATGGTGCTGAGGAACCCATAGCCTCCTACATGGTAGGCGAGTGCCATACCGCTGAGCCAAAACCCCAGCCCCTATTATTACCTTCTTTTTGAGGCAAATATGAAAGAAATCTGCAGTACCCTTTTTACTTTCAATTAGTTGTTGCTGGCATATTAATTTTGGTATTTTCTATCAAGACAATCAACTTGGTTTAATTCTACCAATTAATCAGTTGTCTGTAAGCTGTTCAGGTATAATCTAATTGAATTCTATAAGTAAATTATTATATTGCAAAAATAATTATATATTCGATATTCTTCCTATTCAAACTTCTTGTTGAATTCAATCTCATTTCATTACTTACATTGAGAAATGGTTATTGAATTGTGTTCAATTGACCTATCACAGTGACACATGCCTGTAATCCCAGATACTCAGGAGGCTGAGACAGGAGATCACAAGTTCAAAGACAGCCTCAGTTACTTAGTGAAGTACTAAGCAACAAAGTGAGACCTTGTATCAACATTTTTAAAAAAAAAAAAAAAGCCTGAGGGATGCAAGACAAAAAGAGAAATTACCTTGCTTAACATTATGAGTAGTAGTTTGAATAACATTGAATTGTTGCATTAAAGACTCAACAAATCATGCCCTCTCACCTCCCAGCAAAAATATCCAATGAAATATAAAATGCAAACCTGTAAACGTTTATTTAGTTATTTTAGTAAAGGAATTAAACTCAAGGAGCTTAACCTCTGAGCCACATCCCAGGGCTTTGTACATTATATTAATTTATTTATTTGTGGGAACTGGGGATTGAACTCAGGGGAACATGTCCATTGAGGCGCATCACCAGCCCTATTTTGTAATTTATGCCTTACTGGTATTGAGGCTGGCTTTGAATTCATGTTCCTCCTGCCTCAGCGACTGGAACCCCTGGGATTTAGAGGCATGCACCACTACATCTGGCCATGTCTGGGGCTGGCTTGATGATCCTCCTGCCAATGATGTTCCTAGTCATCTCCATGAGATTACAGGTGTGTATCACTGCACCCAGCTCAAACGTATTTATTCACGGTCAGTTCTATAAGTTTTTAGAAACATAATAAGTTCAATAAATATCACCTATTTATATACTGACAACTAATAGCACATACAACATGACTTGTGACAATAATCACATGTAAGAACTGCAGCCTAGGCATATAGGTACATACTACGGTGCTTCCATTATTCATGTTGTGTATGTCTCTGTGGGAATGGGCACAGAAATCTAGGCAAGCAGTGACCCCAGAGAAAGGACGACCTTCCTTATAACCAAGTCGACATTCTTGGGCAACATGTTCATATTCCACCTAGAAGAAAAAAAAAAGAAAAACTGAAGAGACAGAAAAAATCACATTTAATAAGAAACAAAAATCATTACATAACAAAGTGCTTAACATCAATGGCATGTAGAGTAAACTGAGAAAAAGGTTAAGTGTGAGGCCAGCCTCAGTACTAGAGAACTTCTGGTTTCAACTGCTAGTAATACAAAATAAAAAACAAAAATTATAATAAAATTATGGCGAGGGAAAAAGGACTTTTGGTACTGGGGTGTAGTAACTCAGTGGCAAAGTACTTGTTTAGCATGCATGAAGCCCTTGGTTAAGTTGCCAGCACCACATTTAAAAGAAGGAAGTTGGGCTGTGATTATGGCTCAGCGGTAGAGCACTCGCCTAGCACATGTGAAGCCCTAGGTTCGATCCTCAGCACCACATAAAAATAATACAACTAAAACTTAAATTAAAAAAAAGGAAGTAAAAATTACTGAGCATAGTAGCACAAGCCGTTAATCCCAACAACTCTGGAGGATTAGGGAGAAGGATTCTACGTGTGAAGCCAGCCTCAGCAATTTAGCAAGACTGACTTAAAACAAACAAAAAGGAGCTAGATTGGTAAAAGAGTGCTCCTGGGTTCAAATACCTTTCTAAAAATAAATAAAACTTCAAAAACATAACAAACAAGAAAAGAAACACTTGCAGTCATATTTAAAATACATGCATTTTTCATGTTCCTTTCTTTTTTGGTTCTGGGAACTGAACCCAGGGGCACTTCACTACTGAGCCACATTCCCAACCCTTTCTTGTATTTTATTTAGAGACAGGGTCTGAAAAAGATACTTAGGGCCTCAAAATTGCAGAGGCTGGTGTCATTTGAAGTCAAAAACATTGATTTCAATGAACTTCCATTTATCCATTTTGGATTGTTCAACACTAACGTATAAAAAGATAGTAATGCCCAGCCCATTAAATTAATTTATTCATTTAAAACAAATAAGTTCTTTTCGAATGGGCATAGAAACCAGGGGCACTTTACCACTGTGCTTTTAAGACAGGGTCTCACTAAATTCACTCAATTACTGAGGCTGACATTAAACACGAGATCATCCTGACTCAGCATCACAAACTGCTGGGATTACAAATGTTCGAAACCTCGCTGGCTCTGGGATTATGGATTTGAAGCACTGTACCCAGCATTTGGTTTTGTATGTTTTGTGTTGCTGAGTAATGAGATCAGGACGTCAGTGCTTGGCAAGTATGATAAACTGAGCTATACTCAACGCTCTTTTTAAAATTTTGTTTTGAGATAGGGTTTGCTAAATTGCTAAGGCTGGCATAAAACTTGCACTGTCTGGCCTTAGCTTCCTGAGGCTTCTTCTTTAACTGAACTCCTAGAATGGAAAGAGTTAAAAATCAAAGTATCAACAAAAACTCTACTAGATCCTTGTAAAACTAGTCCACACCTAAACGTATACATATATATCTATGTGTACATACATGGACACACCCCCTAATAAGTACTTTGTTATAATTTGAACCATGTGTAAGAACAATGTAAAATGTTTCAAAACATACCTGGTTTTTGTAAGCTTCAGGAACCATCTGCTTATACAATGGAGCTAATTTTGTAGCCAATCCCTGTAAAATACCTTCAAAGAATTGTTCCTATAGGAAAAGACAGTCCATATAGGTTATTTTATGACATTTACAAGAATTTAATGTATTAAATTCTATGATAAATAATTGCTAATGGATGCCTAATGGACATTTCATCTTCATCCTGATAAAATAGCTATCACAGACAAGAGTTTTTCTTTTTCTTTCTTTTTTTTTATCTTTTGAAACTTGCTAATTTGTGGCCTTGAATTTGTGATCCTTCTACCTCAGCCTTCCAAATTGCTAGGATTAAAGACGTGGCACTGTGCACAGTTTTTTATTTATAGTAACGAAAAGGAAAATTATTTGCAGTTGTAATACCTTAATAGCATACTTGGAAATAAAAATTTAAAATCTAAATAGTGTTAAAGAGCTAAGAATGGTGGTATAGGCCTGTAATTCCAGACACTCAGGAGGCTGAAGGAAGAGGATCATAAGTTTTAGGCCACAGAAACTCTGAGATACCCAGTCTAAAAATACAAATTTAAAAAGGGGTGAAAGTATAGCTGCGTTACAGAACCCCTGGGTTCGGTTCCCAGTACCACAAAAAGCAAGCTAACAAACAAAAAATTCATTAAAAAATGTTGCTACAAATGAGAATCATACTTTATATATATTTAATACTACTGGACACTTGATACAATCGGAGATTCTTGCTGGCATGGGGTATGTTGAAGAACAGAATGCAAACCAGCACAATTCGATGAATTTCTATATAATAGAGAAGGATGAGGAGGAGCAACATATCAAAAACATGTATAGTATATATTGGATCCTGGGTTACTAGTTTCAAATATAATAAATTTGTCTTAAAAGTAAAACTTCACATTTCAAAGAAACTGGCTGAGAGGTAGAGTGCTTGACAAAAACAAGGCAAGGTTTTCAGTTTAATTTCCATCAAAGAAAGGAAAAAGAAAAGGAATCAAAAAATACCCCAAAACACTTGACAAGGCCTGATATACGTGTGTGTGTGTTTGTGTGTGTGTGTTTAAAGAATAGCAAAGTGGGTTGGGGTTGTGGCTCAGGGGTAGAGCACTTGCCTAGCATGTGGGAGGCATGGGTTTGTTTTCCATTACGACATAAAATGCCTGAGGATAAAAGATAATTAGGTAAAACTGAGTAACTAGTTGTCTAAAACCAATATTGCCTCTTCTTCACCATAATGACTATAAATTTAGATAGATTTGATAGGAATATGAGGACCATGAGCACCACATTAAGCATCTGGACTCACTGATTAGAGACGTGGGAAGTTTAAAAAGGAAAATCAATGACAGGAGCATCTACTAAAAGTGCTGCTGCTACTGATGGTATGAAGAATGAAGCAGGGAGGGGAGACACTGAAAATCAGAAGACTTCAAAGACCAGTTAATGTGTTCCAGAAATGATTCTATTACATTTGAAGTTGGAGACTTGTCAAATGTGACTTCTATCACATCTAAGGAAGTCAGTTTAAAGGAGATTGAGATAAAGGATGAAGGAAGAACTTGACAAGGTTGAGGCAACGGCTTCATGTGAGAGCTGGGATACAGATGCCATAAATATAGTCAAAACACCTTCATGTGGTCAAGTTCTCCTCTAACATGCTTTAAATTATTGCAGAAAACAAAGCTACCCAATATAGAGGTAGGAAGTCAATTCTGTAGATTGACATGACTCAATCCGGGCAACTATGAAGCATGAGAAATGACATTCATTTCCCTACTGATTTATGTTTATTCTTTCATTTATTTTTTAAAATATTATGTTTTATTTATAGTTGGACACAATTCCTTTATATTATTTTTATGTGGTGCTGAGGATCAAACCCAGAGTCCCATGGGAGGCGAACACTATTCCACTTAGCCACAACCCCAGCCCCAATCCTTATATTATATACAAGAAATAAATGCATGTAGGTTGCACTTCTAGATTGCGCTCTTCATGTGTTTATACCCACTGGAAAATTCATTTGTGACTTCATTTATTTGGTCTATTGTTGAGGATTCTGACATTGTTTTATTGGTAACGTCCTTCTGCTCTTCTTACTCCACGTTTGATCTCTAGGATTATCATACTTTAAATTGATGACTTTTATAACTATCACCTAGACCTCCTCTTCAGCTGTCACCACTTAAGATTTCCCTTAGGGACTGCAAACCTCTCCTGCCCAAATTGAATTCATTATCTGCCTTCTACCAATCCTAGTCTTAGTGTGTTCCATGAAGGAAGAACATCAGAATCCAACTTTTTTTGTTTTTAATATTTATCTTTTAGTTGTAATTGGACACAATACCTTTATTCCATTCATTCCTTTTTATGTGGTGCTGAACATCGAACCCAGGGTCCCATATGTGCTACTTGAGCGCTCTCCGGCTGACCCACAACCCAGCCCACAATCGAGTTCTTATAACCTCTGCAAACCAACCACGGCACCTGTGTCACAGTCATATTCCAAGCCACCATTAATCCCTGTTCTGGATTTTTCTCATAGATTGGTAGCCCAGGTTCCTAAACCCTTTCAAGGCTAATTGCAGTCAAATTATTCAAAAAGCATCAAGGGAGGACTCATTAAGGAACAAGTGTAATTACACAAAACTCCTCCTTAAAATCCTTCTATGATCTTACAGAATTCTTGAGGTGGCATATAAGGTTGCCACCTGCACCTCATGCTGCCTTGTCTGCTGAGATTCAGACATATTGGCCATGAGCAATGCTTCTTCCTATCAGCACTGTATAAATTTTATTCATTAATAAAAACAAAAAAGATGTCACAACTATTAATTACATAGTGATATCTATAATTGTTGTAGTATGAAATTTCACCATAAATATTAATATATTTATATACTAAGATACTTACATAATATTTATTTTTATTTTTTAAATTTTTATGTGGTGCTGAGGATCAAACCCAGGGCCTAGCACATGCTAGGCGAGCGCTCTACCCCTGAGCCCCAGCCCCAGCCCCTTACATAATATTTAAAAGCAAAAACTTACTTAGAGGACAGATGGACATCAAATTATAGGGTGTTGTTATCTATGAGCATAGTACATGTTCATTTTTAGGTATTTCATATAAACTTCAGTAAAGTTTTATAGTTTTCTACCTTTTGTTCGACTTTTGTGTCCGACTAGTTCCAACTCTTTTGTTTTTTTATATATTTTGATTTTTGCAGGAAGATAGGGTACTGGGTATTGAATCCCAGAGGGTTCTATCTCTGGGCTACAACAACAGCCCTTTTTATTTTGAGAGAGGGTCTTGTCATGTTCTCAAATTTGGCCTCAATCTTGCCATGCTCCTTCCTGCCCTTATTTCCTCAGCTTCTGGGTTTGCAGGTGTGCTCCCACACACTTGCCACTTGGTAGACTAATGACTTTAAAACTCCTTTTGTCAATTTTCTTGCCTCTTTGGGGGGGTAGGATGAACTGAGGACAAAATCTATACACATGCTACCTCTGAGCTATATTCCAGTCAGTAACCCCTGTCTTTTTCAACCAAGGGTCCTTTACCACTTAGCCACATCTCCAGTTAACCCCCCAGTTTGAGATAGCGAAGTTTCTGAGGACTGATGAGGTGTGACCGGGTCACAGCCTTTTTTATTTATTCTTCATTGTGTGACAGATTCTCCCTAAATCGCCCAGGCTGGTGGCGAGCTCTCCATTTGGAGCCTTAGCCTCAGTGTCAGGGTAGTGATTTTTCTTAAACTCTTTTGCTAAAGTTTTGAAAGAAAGATTTTCTTTTAAAATGTATTTTTCTCTCACAACTAGTAAAAATATCAATTTTATTCAATTTGTTGAAATTTTTAAATACATATTTTTCTCAAATATGGTTTTCTCACAAAACTTAGAGCTTTGTTTTCCAAGCTTGGAGAATTACTTATTGGTGGGAGAAGAAATCAATTTAGCAAACAAACTAACATTTTATAAAGAAATGAAATTCACTAAAAACACTGCAATACATATAGAGGATTCTTACAACAATGTTGATATGCCTTTTTCTTTTGAACACAATATTTCATTTATTTATCTTTATGTAGTGCTGAGTATTGAACCCAGTACCTCACTCATGCTAGACAAGCAAATGCGCTACACTGAGCTACAACCCCAGCTGGATATAAAAGACTTTTAGAAATATTTTAACATTGGTCTTTGATAATGTCTTAATTTTTTGGTTTTTCCCACACTATAATTTTTTATTTCTGTAAATGTATATGTATAGTGGTCATAATATATACTACTTTTTTACTTTTGGTCACTGCTGAACATGGAGAAATCACCTATCTTCAAGTTAATTAATACATAAGTCCTCTTCACTCAAACAACACAAAAATATTGCCACGCTTAGTCCCCACTGAGCCACATGGCACCCGTTTCCCACCTCCACCAAGTTGATATGAATTTGTACTTATACTAATAGGTACTCAACTTATTTAAACTTAATTGTAAATTTTACTAATTTCTTTGCTCACCATGGCCTTGTGTTCCGGACAGACTCGTTCCGGTTTCTTAAGTCTTCTTCTTGCATTACGTCCTTTAGTAATTCTGTCATAGAGGTTCTGTGGGTAGTTAAACTTTCTGAGTCTTTGAAATGTTGGCAAATGGTAAATGGTTTTTTCTACCAAAAGTGTAACATTCTAGGTTCATCTGTCAATAGTTTCCACGAGGGTTGAGGCGCAGGAGGAAGGAGCCAAAAATAATTTATATGGGTCGACACGTAATATCTTTACCTAATTTCTTTGAACTTTTTTTTTTCTTGTACCTGGGATGAAGCCCAAACACAGGGCCACATCACAACACCTATTTTGTGTTTTATTTAGAAGCAGAGTCTCACTGAGTAGCGAAGTGCCTTGCTAAGGTGCAGAGGTTGGCTTTAAACTTTGGATCCTCCTGTCTTAGCCTCCTGAATTACAGGAATTATATATAGGCCTGTGCTACCATAGCAGGATACTTTTAATTATTTACTTAAACATATTTAGTATTTCATTACTACTTTTTATTTCTTGACATATTTTCTTGGTGGTTCTGGAAATCAAATTCAGAGGTACTGTAACACAACTACCTTTTGTAAATTTTATTTTTGAAACAGGGTCTTACAAAATTCCAAAGAGTAGCATAAAACTTCCTACGCTTCTACCTCCAAGTAGGCATGAGCTACCACACTTGATTTCATTACTACTTTTTAATATGTAGTTTTAAAAACATATGTACATATTTGGTATTTCAAAAATGTTAAAGGAATACATTTATATACACGCTAAGTAATTGAAAAGGGAAGAGGACACTTACATGTCTGGGAGAGCTGGGATCAATTCTAAACCTTCTGGGGTTTGGGCTTCTACCAAATTTACATCCATTGAAATACATGCTCCATGAACAGCCATAAGAGTATGAAGCTCCACAAGTCTGTGGGTTAGTTCCTTGACATATACAGTTACGACTGCAAGAGGGTAATTGTAAGTGAGTTGAAAGGTAAACCAGGATAATACCTGAGACAGAATATTTGAGAGTCATATAACTATAAAAGTATAAATGGATAACAGATCAGTTTCCAAATTTATCTATTTAAAAACTAAACTCTTTCTTTCTTTCTTTTTTTGTTTGGGTGTGTGGTGCTGGGGATCCAACCCAGGGCCTATGCATTGTAAGCATGCTCCCTACCAACTGAGTTACATCCTAGTCTTTAAAAAGCAAACATTAAAAAAAATATACTTTTAGTTGTAGATGGACACAATACTTTTTGTTTATTTATGTATTTTTATGTGTGCTAAGGATCAAACCCAGTATCTCATATGTCTAAGAAAAACACTCTATTACTGACCCACAACTCCAACCCTGAAAACTAAACTTTTAAATAAAATGTTTCTCTTTAAGATTACAACCCCCCACTGCCCCATTCCTTTGAGCCATTTTATTTTGAGACAGTCTTCCTAAGTTGTCTCAGGCTCCAGTCTCTCACATTTTAGACATGTACAACTTCATGCAGCAATTTTGAGGGTATTTCTGAAGACATAAACGTTATTATTATTATTATTTAATCTTTATTGTGTTCATTTATTTTTATGTGGTGCTGAGGATCAAATCCAATGCCTCACGTGTGCAAGGCAAGCATTCTGCCACTGAGCCACCACCTCAGACCCATATATATTATTAAAGATGTAAAAGCAAGTAAATAGTGTACATTCTTTAGGAGATTCTAAATTTGTGTAATGCTTAAAACATGACGTAGAATATATGTATGACTTATGTAATGATCAAAAAATACAAAAAGTGAAAAAACATAAAAATTATTTTTAAAGTCAAGGAAAATAATGTGGAAATTCAGATTAAAATTATGCTTTGGTGTGAAGTCAGGAAAATCACATAACATTCCTTATAATGAAGAAAATGAAGATCAATTAATGTAACCACTTTGAAGCCAGGTGCGGTAGCTCACACCTGTAATCACAGCAGCTTGGGAGGTTGTCAGGGGGGATCCCAAGTTCAAAGCCAGCCTCAGCAATTCAGCTAGACCTGACTGAACATAAAATAATATCAACAAGGGTTGGGAATGTGGCTCAGTGCTTGAGTGTCCCTAAGTTCAATTCCCAGTAAGAACAAGAACAACAACAAAAAATCAAAAAGTAAAAAACTTTGAGGGGGGAAAAAAAACAGGACTCAGAAATATGGCAACTTCCTATAGAGGTAGAAGATGTATTTTGGAGGGTTTGGAGATCCATTAATAGTACAATAATTGATAAAGAAAAAAAATGAGTTGCAAATTTAGATCCAAGGGTTAAATTAAATTTGAAATTGTAGAAGGAAATTAAAGGTGCCAAACAAATAGAAAAATAATTTACAAAATTACATAGGGAAGAGAGAAAAATATAAATTAACATACTCTCAATGATTATTTCAAACCAAAGACGTAAGAAATGTGACAAATTGTGACTTAGAGCTGTAAGTTAACCTCTCCAAAAATTGAATAAACTGACTTCAGATAGATTATAATATTAAATGTGGCATATAATATAACTACCAATACTTCCAAAACTGATGTGAATCTGAAGGAAACTCTCTGAACAATCAAAATTTCACCAGGACTTAACAAAATTAAACTTTCCCCTTTAATGATTTCATTGCCCTAAACAACAAAAACTGAAATAAAAGCTCTTTGAACTCTAAAAAACAAAATAATAAAACACATTGAATTTTAGGTAAAGGAAAGTGACTATAATGCACCTTTTCAAGAAAAGGGTATGTGAATGAGAGTATATAATATTTTCTAAAAGGTAATTTTCATGAAATAATTTAATACTAGAAGTGTAACTGTTATATATATCAACATAATAAAATAATTAACCTTATCTTATGTAAGGATTGGGAAGAAAATGATGTAAAATTTCATTTACATTTTGTTTAATGACATTTCTTTTAAGGAAACTTATGTGGAAAAGTTTAAAACATTATTAAGGGAAACTATATTGAATGAATAGAAAATTCATGCTGTTGAATAAGACTCAATATTATGAAGATGCCAGTTATATCATTAGATTATTAAAAGTATACAAAGTTTTATATTTTAAAATAAAATTTTATATATGGAAGCAAAAAGAAAAAAGAAAATCTTACAGATGACGTTGTGGCTCACTGGTAAGAGAACTTGCCCAGCGAGTGTGAGGCACTGGGTTTGACACTCAGCACAACATTAATAAACACACATAATCACATATATTATACTAAAAAAGAAAAGAAAATCTTACAGAGTAGCAAGAATGTGAGTCAATCCTATCAAATATTAAAATAAAAAATAGGGCTGTGGATACAGAAACCTGGGGTTTGATTTCCAGCACTACATAATAAAACAGCAAGGAAACAAAAATGGCACAGAAAAAGTATAAAGAGGGGCTAAAGTATTGTGTCCACCTACAACAACAACAACAACAAAAAGTATAAAGAAAAATGATCTGGGAAAATAATTTGCAAATTATAAACCAGGCAAACTTTTAGTAGCATTGATATATAAAAACAGGGGAGAAAAATACTGGTTCATAATAAGATGCAATTAAAATTATGCTGATGACATTAATAGACAAAAATTCAAATTTGACAACATAACCAATGGCTAGAGAGGAGTAAAAGCAAATATTCTCTTATTTTGAATTGAACAAATACAAAATGATACAAATTCTTTTGAAGTACAATTCTTTGTGCTATAACTGCTTTCCTGTGCATGTTTATATACCAGGTAATCTGGAAGGTTGAGGAAGGAGATCACAATCTTAAGGTTAGCCCCAGAAATTTAGCAAGTCCCTAAGCAATTTAGCAAGATCTGTCTCAAAATTTAAAATAAAACATATCTGGGTTCAAAACAGAAGGAAGTGGTAAAAAATATGAGGGGCTGGGGATATAGCACACTGTTAGAATGCTTGGTTAATATGAAATAGGTTCAATCAATAGCATTGTTCCCCACTGCATTAATTTGGAGAATATTCTAAAATGGCCCTAATAATGACACTAATTTTTGTTTAACAAAATATTTGTTTATTCTACCAAAATACCTAAAATATTATTTTCCCATACAGTATACTTAGTTGTTAATTAACAATTTACCATTATATAATATGGATCTGACTGTCAAATCAGAACAAAACAGATTTGATTACTTTTCATTGAAGGTACATCTTCGGTCTGTCGGATGACCATTGTATGACCGTAGACTCTCAACAATCTCCTGATATAAACTGTCCGCAATTGGAGGACATAAGGCTTCCCATATCATGATGAACACCACCATCACAGCAGTTTCACAGTGGTGGCCTGTACGCACCCGGACCAAACAAAGAACTTTTTCTTCCTCACTGCTTCTTCTTATAACCTGCAAAAGCAGAATGCATTCATCTATGAAAAACAAGTATCCGACATTTAAATGCAATGGACATTTATCTTTAAGTTCTGGATGGTTATATATTAGCTTATTTCTTTCTTTAAAAAAAAAATATCACTGTATGTCTCAAGGGTTGGAAATTATAGAAGCCAATGAGGTAAGCTGTTGTCTTCCTAGTTGCCTCCATAAAACTTATATCAGCTTATAAGAACACAAAAAACTAGGCAGAACAGAAATCTGTGATATGTGGATGGCTATTCTTTACAAAGTAGTGTAACATTCTTTGTTTTGTGATGGGGTTGTAGCTCAGTGGTAGAGCGCTTACCTAGCATGTGTGAGGCACTGGGTTGAAATCCCAGCACCACATATAAATAAAATTAAAGTTACATTGACAACTAAAAATATTTAAAAAACAAGATTATTTGTTTGAGTTCCAAAAGGAGAAACTGAAGACTCAGGAAAATTTAAATACCTGCTCTGCTTTTCCACAAATGGAAAGAAACCAGGAATCCCAATATTAAAAATAAATGTAGAGCAGGATGGAGTACTGCACACCTGTGATCCCAGGGGCTTATGAGGTGAGGCAGTAGCATTGGGAAATCTGTTTCACATCACTGAATATACTTAACTCTACTGATCCCTACACTTAAACATGGTTAAGATGGAACTGAGAATGTAGTTAAGTGATAGTAGCGCTTGTCCAGTATGCCCGAAGCCAATTTGATCCTCAACACAGGAAGAATGACAGGAAGAAAAAAAAAAAGTAGGATGTAAATTAAATTGCATTCTGCTCTCATAACAAATTATAATTTTAAAAAAAGGAGAGGCAGGAGGCAGAGTGGGCAAGGTGGCTTATCCCTGAATTTAAGCAGCTGCAGAGGCCAAAGTAGGAGAATCATAAGTATAAATCCAGTCTCAGTCTCAGCAACTTAGGCCCTAAGCAACTCAGTGAGACGCTGTCAAACACAAATTAACAAAAAAAAGGGTTTGTGATGTGACTCAGAGGTTAAGTGCCTCTAGATTCAATTACAGGTACAAAAAGGGGTGGGAGGGTTTAAAGAAGAGAAACTACATAACTAAATAGAATGCTTACAAGAAACAAAATACTAAACACTAAAAATGTTCAGAAACACTCTTGTATACTATGCATGAAAACGTAAGAAAGGAGAACTACTTTTGGAAAACTATTAGTATCAACAAATCTAATCAGCTAAACATGTCATCTATTCACAATCCAGGAACTCTACTAGACACAAATGCACTTCCCTGTTTCCCAAAGTCAGAGGCATTATTCATAATTATCCCAAACTGGAAATAACTGAAATGTCATTACCAGCAGAAGTGCCCAATAAATTTTAACTATTCCTAATAAAAGAATACGACTTAGCAATGAGAATGACTTATAATTATACACAATATGAATTAATCTCATAATTGCAGTGCTGAGAGGCAAAAAATGACTTTTTATAATACAAAATGTCAGAAGAGAAGGAGAGTGATATTTTTGGTAAGTAGCTAGGGATTAAGAGGGGACAAGAATGCTTCTGAGGTGCAATTATATTGCACACTGACAACAAAATTGTGTTCACTTTGTAAAAATTTTGTGAGCTTAGGATTTATGCTGTCTTCTGTAGGTAAGTTATAGTAAAATAACGGGCTTACTTTAATAATCTTTTTCTGTTTCATTTATTAGTTCAGGTCATTTTGGTGCATCTCTTAACTTTTCTTTTTTTTTTTTTTTTAAGTTGGCTTTTCCCAACTTTTTTTTTAAAGAGAGAGAGAGAGAGAGAGAATTTTTAATATTTACTTTTCAGTTTTCGGTGGACACAACATCTTTGCTGGTATGCGGTGCTGAGGATCGAACCTGGGCCACACGAATGCCAGGTGAGCGCGCTACCACTTGAGCCACATCCCCAGCCCATCTCTCAACTTTTCTAAAGTAGCATATTAGGATCTAATAAATCTTAACTACTATTTTATGTTTGTTTGCTCTACCACTGGAAACACAGTTACTGAGCACAGAATTCATTTCATCAGAGGCTCACATCAAATATTTGTTGAGTGAATATTTAAAAACCACAAAAACCCTGTGTGGTTATACTTTATGAAAATTTCAAATCCTTCATTTTGCACTACTAATGACAGAGAATCTCTCATTAAAAATATTTGTCACCTGCCGGGCTCACATGGGTACTTCCAGCAACTCGGGAGACAGAGGTAGGACTATCACAAGTTCAAAGCCAGCCTCATCAAAATAGCCAGATATCAAGCAACTAAGTGAGATACTGTCAGCCCATTTCTGTAATTTGAGAGGTTGAGGCAGGATCATCACCAATTCCAGGCCAGCCAGTGTAACAGTGCTATCTTATAATAAAAATGAGTAAATAAAACAAGACTAGCAATGTAGCTCAGTAGTAGAGCACTTGTTTACGAACATGCATTAAGTTCTGGTTTTGTTCATGTATATTCCACTGGGCATTAAAAAATTGTATGACTTAAAGTTATTTTCTCCCATTTTGTTAGCTGTCTTTTCCCTATTTCAGAGTCCTTCATAGCACAAAAATTTCAGTGTTGATGAAGTTCAATTATTTTATTTGTTCTTTTTAGTCCAATTTATCTTTAATTTTTTCTTAATCACTTCTAGTCTTTTTTTCTTTATTTTGGTATCAGAGATTGAATCAAGAGGTGCCGAATCACTGAGCTACATAGACAGCCCTCGTTTTATTATTTCATTTAGAGATAGGGTATTGCTGAGTTGTTTAGTGCCTCATAAGGTTGCTGAGTCTGGCTTTGAACTTTCGATCGTCCTATCTGAACTTCTTGAGCTGCTGGGATCACAGGCTTGAACCACCATGTCTGGCCATTTATACCATTTGTATCTTGTGTGTGTGTGTGTGTGTGTGTGTGTGTCTGTGTGTGTGTTGCTGGGGATTTAACCCAGGGCCCTGTGCATGTGGGGCAAGCACTCTACTAACTGAGCTATATCCCCAGCCCCCACTAGTGTTTTTCATATTATATCATCTAATAAAAAATTATATGGTGGACCTCTAACTACCCCAGCTATATTTATTGAAGATTATTCTTTTCTAATGATTCTTGTCTTGGCATATTTACTGAAAAATGAAGTGACCATAAATGTGAAGCTTTATAATCAACTCTCGATTCTGTTCCATTGACTTATTCTGTTCCATTGACTTATGACAGGAACAACACTGTCTTGATAGCTTTGGGATGCATTTTGAAATTGGGACATGAGTCTTTCAATATCACCCTTCTTTTTCAAAGTACTGCTGGCAAGCAAAAGGAGAGAATAAACCTATTTTGAGCAGAAATTTGAAGACCAAATATCTTTTGTAGAAATCTTTTTTCTATGACTGAGCAAAATCCCCAGTCTTTTTTATTTTGAGACTCAATCACTTCCCTGGGCTAGCCTGGAACTTAAAATCATCCTGCCTTAGTCTCCTAGTCCCTGGGATTACACATGTGCACAATGGTGCCGGGCCCCAGAAAAATCTTTTACTGTGTGCAGAAATTAGAGAACCCTTTAAAATTCATAGCATAACCAAGGACCTGGATTCAATACCCAGTACAATACACACATATAAATAAATACCATAGTTATTTATAGTTAATATAAATAATTATTTATATTAAATAGACAAATAGTTATAATTTAACTATATGGTTTGGGGGAAAATGTCAAAAATAAAAAGTATTTATAGATGCTCAGTAAAAACGTAATTTCATTTTTAGCCTAAATCCCATTCCTGCCCTTGGCGCAGTGATGATTACTATAGATGTGTGGTGTGATTTCAGGGAACTGGAATTAAAATCTGAGTCTTCTTGTATGAGAAGCACACATTTTACCACTGCGCTACGATTATAGCCAGGACAAGTATTTTTGATACACAGAAGGTTGAGTTTGGGGTTGGAGGACCCACAGATAAGAAGGACTGACTATTTATTTTTATCTGTAAATGAAAACAAAATTCTTTTAGGTTGAATCAGGGTTGTTTTAGCACTGAGCCACATAGCCAACTCTTTTGTGTTTCTTATGTTGGAAAAGGGTCTAACTAAATTGCTGAGGCTGGCCTCAAATTTGTGATCATTCTGTCTCAGTCTCCCAAGATGCTGGGAATAGTCTTGTACCACTGTGCACAGCTGTATATATTTTGAATGCTCAAACATCGGGATAATAATGAGTGTGTATTAAGTTTTGTAAGCATGCTAAATATAGTCATGTATCATTTCCACAAAAGGAGAAAATGACTGCAATGCATTTTTCTCATGTAATACTGTGAGCAGGGAATACAAAGAATTATAAGGGGTTTGTATGAATCAGGGTGCAAAGCAGGGTCAGACTTCTTGATTGGAAAGAAGTGAGCCCCTTTCCAGGATGAAAATAGAGTTAATCATGGTAAAAAAGATAGTGTAAATGTTATGCTAAGATTTTTGGGAAACAGGGACCATGAGACGAAGTTAAAGAAAATTCTACCCATATGTTGACAGAAAATGCCTTCTATCATTATAAAACTCTCTTCACAAAATTATTATATAGAGAGATGGTTCTAATTCAGGGATCTCTGAGATAAAGATAATGCTTCCTATGTTTCCAATACAGCTCAAGCTGGGCATGATGGCTCACATCTGTAATACCAGTAATGCAGGAAACTGAGGCATGAGGATAGCAAGTTTGATGCCAGTCTCTGTAACATAGTGAGGTCTTAAGAAACTTAGCAAGATCCTATTTTGTGTATGCATGTGTATAGTACTCGGAAATTGAACGCATGGCCTCATGCATAACACATTGAGCCATATCCTAAATGCTGAGAATTTTTCTTAAAAGAAAAATTAAAAAATTAACTGAAGATGCAACAGTTACCCAAAATCTTTCCTGGACCTTCACCTCTGAAAAATATTCTTGCTTTCCTCCCTACTGACTTTCAAAGCCATTTTCAACAGCAAGTAGCAGGACATGGCAATAACTTGCA